CAAAAGTAGAGATTAAATGGATGAAAGGAAAAAAAAAAAAAGAAATCAGAACAACAACCTCCTCCTCCGTGTCCCTGAATAAATAAACAAATTACAAAGAAAGAATGTGAAGATGAAAATACGGAAACAAACAAATGTATAAACAAGCTAAAAAAATGTAAAAAAAAAGAATAAAGAATAAAAATATATACGTTCCTTAGAAACGAACAAAAATAAACGAAAAAAATAGAAATAGCAAAAAAAATTGGCATTAGCAGCAGACAAAAAAAAAATTACAAGAAGTTCTTTGAAGGAAAAAAAAAACACTGGTAGCATTTGGAAAGCGTGTGTGTCGCAGCCAAAGAGTTACTCGGAGGCTGCGTAGTTGCCCGGCAAAACGTATTCTCTTCCTAACAGACAACGTGACTGCTTTATCTCTGCCTCCGTTTGCTGCCACTTTCTCCTCCTGTAGAGTGTTGAACGGAAAAGCAACCGAAAATCCATTTGTCCGCTTTCCGATCATCCGCAGCATCAGCACAGTAGCAGTAGCTGTAGCTGCAGCACATCTATTCATAAACATTTATAAGACTAGTTGAAGTTTGCGGTTGCTGCTATCGTCGATATCATTATCATCTGTGTTTTCTGAAAGTAATGTGTAAAAAGTCAGCGTTGAAGCACCGAATGTTTACGTTTTTCTTATGCGCTGCTTGAACACGGTTCAGATGGCGCTATTATCAGAAATTTGAATCAGGCTACAAATAAACAATTTTTATGATTTCAACGGCAACGGCAATGGCTTATAACAGTGACAACAACTTGTTTTCCTGGATACAACAAATATTGTTTTAAAAAATTTCTTATGTTTATACGAGGGTAATTTTATATCACTTAGATCTCTAGTACACTTAAAATTCTCGTTTCTAATACTTAGAATTGGAACACTGGATACTAGACAATCAGTTAAGTATGAATTTTAAATTGCCAACAACTGGGAAATAGGTGCTCATCGTAATCAGATTTGATGTTAATTTATCATTAAATCAATATAAGTGATCAGCAAAAAAAGAATTTCCTGTTTTTCAGCTCTTTACCGCTAAAATAATTCTGTTGCACAATTGTATTTTAACAGCTAGCAGAGGTTTTTTTTTGGCAGTATTTTATGAAACCTAAGACAGTGATTGACATCCGGAAACAGTTTCATGCAAGCAAATGATTTTTTTATCGGAACATGCACTAATTCGAAGTCAGCTTAAACGAGTGCCGAATTTTTTCGGTTTATCAATATCGCATATTCAGTCGAAATAAAGAATATCTGTCATTTTCGTTAGCCAGTCATATCTTTTATGCCAATGATATCGATGATTATACAGTTGTTGTTTGTGACAGGAATGTTGAAAAAAAAGATTTTATTGCAGGTAAAAATCAAGTTCAAAGAATTCAGATTATGGAATACTGTTTATACGCCACATGAGCCGTTATCGTCAAATCATCAGAAATTGCTTTCATAGTTAGCACCAATAGCTCTGCTAATTTACCATTGAATATTTGTGGTGGTAAAGACGGTTTGGTTACTTCAGTTTGGTTTACCTGTTTACTTTCGTTTAACAACAGTAAATGTAAGCGAAGTTTTTTAATGTAAAGAAACCTGTTTAATTTTAAAAGAAATGAAAAAAACCGTCCTGTTCTCATTTTTTTTCTTTCGTTTTGTTTTTATTTCTTTGATTTCGTTAGATGCTATTCGTCGACGTATGACTCATCTGTTGGCAATAAAGGAAAAAAATTTTTATTTAATTTTGACTATATATTATACCGGTTTGTAAAGCAGTTCATTTTTTACCTTTCATTTTAAAAGTAATAGAGATCTGATTTTTGTGATGAATATTTTGAATTTCTCCTTTTATCTTATCCTCTTCACTCATACACTTCCCAGCCGTTTATCTATTTGACATCGGAAGTATTTTTTGAGATTTAAGTAAGACTTTTTTCGCAGTTTAACCGTATCATTTTTCACTACAACGTCAGACAGATGTCTAAGACGACCAATCAGAATTTTCATTTCAGTCTTCAATGTAGCACCTTTGCTGCTTTTTTTAAATTGCACCTTTCTTCCTCCCCCCCCACTCTTCCCCTTTAAAAAACTAAAATAAAATAAAATAATGAATAAATAAAAATAGAAAGGGGCGAGGTGGGAATCCTCAAATTTTTCAAAGGTGTGAAGCATTTTACACCGAATTGTTTGTTTATGTTTGAGATGAACATCAAAAAAAAAGTGCTCTAGTAATGGTTGCTGCAAGACAGCATCACTACCAACGCTTAATTGTTGATTTAACTATGCTCTTCATACTTTCAGGGCATCCACGTCACTTTAGTGAAGATAAAGTGCAAGATGAACAACGCCATAATGGTATTCAGTTAATTTACGTCTGTAAATGCTATTCTTGGATTCGCCTTTATTGCTCACCAGTGTCTCGAATTTGCTATCTCATCGGCTAAATGAAAATGGTGACTGATTGTTATACGGTAGGACTTTTCCAAAAATAATATCCAAATATGAGTTTATTTATTTTCAGAAAAGTAACGAAATAAATAATTAGTTATTTCAGTATTCTGAAATGTCAAAAAGAAAAAAAAAACATCCGGTGGAGAAAAATACAGCAACAACAATTTGAATAGGCATTTAGAAACCATTGGATGGTAATCAGATAATCGAACACTTTTTTTCACTTTTTTGTTACCTAAATTCTCCATTTAACTTTCAGAAAGCAATTTTTTTTAAAATCTAAAGCTTTCGTTATTAACCCTGTAATCTTCTAAGCGATATCGCTGAAACCTTGTGTTTAACCACCTTTGGTACCGGCTGTAGAAGAGCTATGCTGTTGAATCAGTAAAAATTGCAAATGACGTAAAACAACTAGTTCCTTTCTGCATCTTGCCTATGGTATTTTTGCAAACCATAAGAAGTACTAAAACCCTTTAGCCACATGTTGGTGAAACCCAACGTCTCAAAAGTCAGCAGGTGTCAGTTGTTTGCCTCTACTTACCAAACTACTTTTACAGATGTGATCCTTGTCTGTCTTCTGTCGGCTTTTCATAAGCACATATCCGTGGGCCGATAGCACATTTCCTGTACAGCGCGGTAAGTTTTATTTTGGAGCTGCACAAAAGATGCAACGTTTTCATAAAAACAGTTTTAAGACACTTCACGCTCATTTCAACTTTCTAGATGCGGAACACTTCCTGTCATATAAAGTGAAATTCAGTTTTTCCACAGTTATAGTGCAACCCCCGGAGGAGCTTATAACAGTAAGCAATCAACTTGATAGTATTCTAACGGTTTTTTCTAAAAGTTTTTACGTATGTTAAGTAGATCTTTTCTGATTTAATTGAAATTTGCAATGCACAGTGTTTTCACTCCCTTGGATCACTTTTCACACTGTTGCCTGAATATGATTTACGATATTTACAGAAAGTAAGCAATAAATATATTGTGGAGAAACCAAAATTGATCAAATTTTAGATTAAAGGAGACGGTAAAAAAAGTAATATTACACGTCACATCAAACTGAATAGAATAGCAAAAGAAGAACCACAAATTGTAACCGATACGAAGCAGTCGAGCCGTTCTAACCATACTACCATAGTTGAGAAACCAGACTTCAATTTTTTCTTTTAACCATCGTAAAAGACCAACAGAACAAATTGTTTCCCAAATTCTTCTTTACAAGCATCTGTTTGTCTTTTAATAATTAAAAAAATGCAGCTACGAATACCAAGAAAAAAATTAGTTTGTTATAAGATTGGAATACAGGGTACAACTGCAAAATCCAAAAAAAACTCCATTACTTTTGCTTCAAAGTTAAAGGTATAATATATACTTTACAATTTTCTGCGTTTGGACACTATTAAGTCCAAAGTGTACAAAGTTGAACTATCAATCCTGTATTCAGCGAAAAATTTGTTGAGTTAAAAAAGAAAGAAGTAGAAGAAAAACTGTAGCAAAGAGGCAGAAACAGAAACATCAGAAACAGTTTACTCAGTATTTTTTGAACCATAATACAGTCATAAACCTTTAATATTAATTGTCCAGTCAACAAACAGTTGTTTTAAATAAGTCATTGATTTATGAACTTTTACCTACACACGGTTGTCAAAACATAGAAGAAACCTGCTACTTTTTTCCGCAAACTTTCAGGTTACAAATATTCAATTTTTTTTTTTAGCAATAATGCTGCATTTTTATGGAAACCAAAGATGATTGTAAGACCAAAAACAGGTAACAAAGGTATAGTAGCTAACGTCTGATGGTAATTTTTCGTTTCCCGAACATTGTTCGACAAACTGCAAAAGTTGTAAGGGAAAACAATGTATGACCTTTCAAAAACAAAAAATTGCATCAAATT